TTTCAGATTTTGTAGATTCTAGAAATTCATATATATGTTTGTTTTGTTTGATATTTAATATATTTTAAAATTTCATAATATCGAAATTTGCTTTTAGGGTTTTAGATTATGGGAAAAACATCTGATTGTTTACAATGACTGATACTAGAGGTATACTAAATAATATTCAAAATTTTGGGGAATTTCCCTCATTTGATTTGTGTATTACCTAAGGGTTGCATTGTATTTCAACCTAATTGTATACCAACAAGTTTTGTATTTTATGTGACTACTTTACCTTTCCAAAGTCACTTTGTATTTCAAATGAAGAGAGTATTTAATTTCTTTTGTATTCACAACTTTATATTCAATCTCACTTTGTATTTATAACTTTGTATTTTCATCTCATTTTTGTATTCAACATATAGTTCATGATCGATTAGTTACATTAACTTAATGGGATACAAATTATTGTATGCATTCAAATAGAAAAAACAACTACTAAACTAAAAAAATATATAATTTCATTCGTTATACATCATAATTTGGATACAAAACATCCGAAAAAAGCTATAAATCTCAATGCATACAAAGATTTCACTGATTCAATCAGGAAAAAAAACAACAGTCTTGTACTCGACATATATGGATATCTCATCCAAACAAATAAAAAAATTGAAAAAAATACCTGATTGTTTTTCAATTGTTCACTGGATGTGACAAATTTATAGTTGTCAATTTTGAAAAATTATGTTTCAAAAATATGTCGTATTCAACTTGAAGAAGTTTTGAAAGTTATTAGATGAATGATTCGGAAGACAAACTAAATTATTTTAATTTTTTTTTTGATGTTCTTAAGAAGAAAGCAAAAAAACGCTCGACGGAAAGATGGCTATTTATGCTCTTTTCAAAACGTAACTGATTTGTATTTAAAATCTTTTTTACCTCTTTTGATTTTTTTTGTTCCATGATTTTCTCTGTTCTGTAATTAATTATTTGTATTCTTTCAAATTAATCAAAATAAAATAAATACATAACTAATCCTTAACAAACTAAAATAATGACATTTTTAATAAATAATGAAACTGTTGCTAAGGAGTCCCACTAAAAGCTAAAATATTGTTCTTTTGAAAAATTTCCCATGTTTTTTTAACATTCAAATCTTAACAATTAAGTGTGATTTTTTTAAGTATTACTTTAGGTCTGAATGATTAATATTTATAACAAACAATTAGTATTGTCAAGATGTTTATCCAAAAAATTCTACAATGATGACAGTTCATTGATTTCATCCATTCATTGTTATCTCCATCACCCATCATTATCAATTATCAATCACACAACCTCCATTGCTGCCAATAACTACAATCAAGCATCACCGACATTAACCATTATTTACAATCATAATTGCCTTTATCATAATAACTATAAATTACTATACACAATCACCACTATTGGTCATCACTATAAAACGTCAACCAATGCCCACTTACTTCCACTATTAACCGTCACTACTGTCCAACACAACTATCAATCATTACCATCAATCACTAGTATAATCACCATTAGCTATAAACTACTACACACAACACCACTACTAGCCATGACACCATCCTCAATACCCAAAACCATCGACACCAGCTATTATCTCCACCGATCATTATATATCTTTTTATAATTTAATGTGTTATAAAATTTTATAGATGTATATGCAAATTCAAAATTTATATAAAAATAAAATATACTTAAAATATATGTCGCGTAAAATTAAGACACATGAAATGAAACGAGACGGCTATGTGGTGGGGGTGGGGGTGGGGTGGGATATTCATAATATAGTTGGGTCCTAAGTTGATGCCGCGTAATTCTAAGCAATGGTGCTCTCCCACTTCTCTCTCTTTTGATATTCCGAAAGCTCTGCATTTTTACAACATCCCCTTCTTCTCTCTCCCCTTCTTCATCATCAACCTTTACCTCACATATCAAAAAAATCCATTTTCATCTTCCATTTTTGAATCTTTTGGAACCCCTTTTTCCAAAAATACACCAATCTTCAAAGCCTCAATTTCAAGAACAAAAAAAAAAGGTATTTTTTGGCTAAAGAACTAATTTTTATCATTTACCCGTATGAAAAAAGAAGAAAAAATCCTCATTTTTGAATTGGGAATGTTCATATTGCAATTTATGTTTGTGGGGTTTGGAAAATATTGTGTCTTTATCAATTGTTAGCTGACTTTTTGTCTTAACATTTCTGGAAAGAGTGGAAACTTTGAATTTTTCTTGTGATTGGTGAACTTGTCCCTTCTTATGTGATAATTGATTAGTTTTTGTGGGTAATTGTATTTTAGCTGTCTTGTTTTTCTTTTGATTTGCTTGAGCCGAGGGTCTCTCGAAAACAGCCTCTCTACCTCGAAGAGGTAGTGGTAAGGTCTGCGTACACTTTACCCTTCCCAGACCCCACCTTTTGGGATTTTACTGGGTTTATTGTTGTTGTATAGCTGCTGAGGACTCACATTGTGCTGTGAAAATATGAAAAATATTTTGTGGGTAATTGCATTTTAGGTATGTATGTAGTTGCTGGTAAAAAAAGAGGATTTACATTAACAACAACGACAACATCCCGGTGTAACCCCACCAGGTGGGGTCTGGGGATGGGAGGGAGGGTAGGGTGTCCGTAGACCTTACCTCTACCTCGCGGAGGTAGAGAGTTTATTTATGAAAGATACTCGGCTCAAGTAAAAAGAAAAAAAAGGACGTACATTGTGTGTGAATATGAAAAGTATTTGTAATGAATCTAGACTTTAGTTGACCAAATTATTTAGTGAATAACCTTTTTGTTTCTGGTTGTTCAGTTGGTTCTCATGTGGTGTTTGAAGAGTGTTGGAAGCATAGAGGCTAACTCCACAAATACCCTTTTGGATTGAGTTTGTACATCGACTAATTTATTTTGGGGTCACGAGCGAGCTCGTTGCTGTAGTTTCGAGAAGCTCTTGTACATTTGGTTATGAATTTGGTTAAATGTTTGAGAAGTAAAGGTGAAAGTACAAGGAGAGGATATTGTACAGCTAAGTATAGACCATGACTAGTGAGTCTTGTGGAATTTCTGGCCAAAATGTTGGCAATGATGTTCCGCTTACTGAAAATCATGATGATAGGTATAGACATGTATCCATGCAGACAGGCGAAGAGTTTTCAGAAGAGTTTCTTATGAAAAGTTTGACACCAAGAAAAGCAAACATAACAAGAGATACAGACCAAAATCAGCCAGTTATAGGTATTTCAAATCCCGCTCAAAATTGCCACGTTGTCTCTAAGGAGCTTCATGACCTCCTTGGGATAAAAAGAAGTGATTCAGACTGTGGTGCTGAGTTTTCGGATTATTCTCCTAGGATAGCATATGCACCGGAAGGTGACAAGAAGACTTATTTTGACACAGCAAGCAGATGTAACAGGGAATGTAGTGTCAGTGGACAACAACCATCAAGATTCTTCGATGAGAGGAATAGAGATATAGTAGCTCCTTGCACAACTGGTCGAGACATTTATGCATCAGAGTCCCCTCATTCACATCAAATCCGCAACCCTGAGGCAGGAGTTTCTGAGAGTTGTGGGGGTGGAAAGATAAGATTACTCTGCAGCTATGGGGGTAGAATCTTACCAAGGCCGAATGATGGGAAGCTTAGATATGTAGGTGGGGAGACGAGAATTATATCAATTAGGAAGGACCTAGCTTTCAACGAGCTTGTAAAAAAGACAATAGCAATTTGTAATCAACCTCATACAATTAAGTATCAGCTTCCTGAAGAAGATCTTGATGCACTTGTATCCGTTTCATCCGATGAGGATCTTCAGCACATGATTGAGGAGTATCATGACTTGGGAAAAAGTTCTCAAAGGCTACGGTTGTTTCTTGTGCCTTGTGCTGATTCTGAGGTCCCTTGTTCCTTTGAAGGAATGACATTACAGCAAAGTGAAGCTGACTATCAGTATGTTGTTGCAGTAAACGGAATGCTTGAGCCAGGTCATCGTAGAAGCTCTAGCAGGGAGACCTTTGCAAACCAAGCAAGTCAATTTGGAAACACTTTGGACTTTAGTCCTATGTGCCAAAGAGATTCCCCAACTTATCTCCCATTTGAGAACCATAATGGAGGTAATTCA